ACGGACTGGTAGCCTGCGGATGACGCTCGGTGCGGGGAGCCGTCGGTGGGGCTTTTGAGGGCCTGGCTGCTCTGGGACAGCCACTCCACAGAAAAAGGGGCCTTGGTCATCCTGCCTTGTTCCGGAGACGCCAGGAAGGAGGGTGTCAGGGAGCATGGCTTCTCCTTTATACCTTAAGTCCCGGAGGAAAGCGTTGTTTGTGTAAATACACATCAAAGGGCCAGATAAGTATCATCTAATTGCCATCAGTCCTACCCCCAACAAAAGATACCGTTCACACGTTGCCACGGCTCGCAGAGGCTCGGCTCCGCCGTGTCTGCCCCTGGAGTTCATTCCGCCGTCAGTGATTTACAGCTCTTGTTACATCCTATCCCGATGCAAATGGCATTTATAGAGCTGAGCGGCCTCAAACGGTTCTGGGGAATGCATCCCCGGGGGAGCGAACAGGGTCCAGCACCCCTGGACGCTGGAGCTGCTGCTCCCGATCCCCCCTTGTTTTGTTGGCTTTCCCCTTACTTTTCAAGCAGATCCGCCGTTTACGGGGACCTCCCCAAGCCTCCTCTATGGCACCGTGTTTCCGAGAAGGACCGAGGCGGGCAGGTGGATAAACTCACTCATTGCATTCAGTTGGGACTGCAGCCTCAGGTTATGAGCACCAGGCACAGGGTTTCGAAGAGAAGGTTGTGAAACAGAAAAGGCAAAGGTCAAGGCTGTTGGGTTGTACGAATCGACTGGCTTCTGGTTGCTTACATAAAGTATGTTTTCTGGATTGAAAACTCAGGTTAAAAACAAACAAACCCAAACAAAATACAAACAAAACCCCCCCAAACAGTTACTGCCTTAGAATAAACATTTTGCTGAGATTATAGAATTCATGTAATATCTTCCCTCCCAGATCTTTTGCAGCTGTGCAGGTCAGACAGGTTTCTCTGGTATCTTACTCTCCCTGTCTTTGCGCTTATTACCTTATGCATGTCTTTCAGAAGTGTTCCCATCCACCTTTGTGTTTTTCTGGGCGCACCAGGAAGTCTTGGCTGCTGCAGTAATGCCTCTGTAGTATATTGACAAAGGTTCCTGGTACTTTACGGCAGTTTTTAACTGCGTGGTAACCGTGAATTCCGCCCTCCAAAAAAATCCCCCCCCCCCGTGCAAGGGCAGGGACTACCGCACCATTGAGAACTCCTATCGCACCCCAGCTTGGTATCAGTCTGCCTCCAGAAATCATGACTGCATGTCTGATTTGTCTGTTCTTGCTCCTGCTTTCTGCTTTACACTCACCTCTACCACAGTACACAAACTCAGTACTCTACTGTCCATGTACCCTGTGCCTTGCCCTGTTACTCTGCCACTCCTGCTGGATTTCTCAGCATTCACTTTCTCTAATGTAACCATGCTTCTATTTCTTAGACTATCATTGAGGTAAAGGCTTGAATACTGAACCACTCCTACTCAGTTTATGTCCAAATCTTTCAATGTATTAAATGTTAATCTTATAAACATTTTTATTTTTTTTTTATTCGGTTTAAAGTTTTATTCAAACCCTTTTTATCTTCTCCTAAAACCAACTTTCATCTTCCTGTCTGCTCAAAATATGGTTGTTATATCCATCCACCACAAAATCCTACCATTTTCTGCTTATTAGAAAATTGTTGCATTGAACCATGTTGAAGTTTGACTTGAGGGCCCCTTCTAAGCTCTGTTTCTACTTGCTTGTTCATTCTTACAGTGAAGTCTTAGTCTTCCTCTGCTGTACCAGTGATGTCACCATTCAAGAGTTCAATTGTCTCTAACGAACAAAAATAAAAACACTATTGTCATATTTATTTAAAAGTGTCTAATATGTGATCTAGAACCACAACCAGACATGAACAGGGCTCTCCTGGAGCCCTTTGTTTCTGGCCTGTGTAGGTAAGGACTGACATTGCAGCCTTTACTGCAGCAATAGCCTGAGCCCACTAAACAAGCTTCCTGGAGATAACTAAGGGAACTGGTATAAAAAAATCTAAACAAACATTCAAGCATTATGCATCCTGTACATATGTTACCTTTCTAAAAAAGACCACAAACATCTGTAACATGGACAAAACCCTATAGGACATGTATTTTTGGAGTTTTTTTCAGTGCATGAAAGTGTTTGATATCTAATTACCTGAAACCTCGTCTATTTATCCTTTCCAAGCATTTTCTGATTAGCTATTGAAAGTTTAGAAAGTTTACTTGACCAAACTATACAAGGTTAGTTTTACATTTTGTCTATTTATTAAATAAATAAATCAATCTCACCCACCACTTTCCCCACCCCACCTAAAAAATTCCAAGAACAGGCTGGAAAATAACTATTTTTTAAATTAAATACAAGTGAAGACCACCCCCACCACAAACCTGAGGAAATCCTTTACAAAACCCAGACTTCTGAGCATTAGCCGATTTTGGTGGCATCACACTCCATGGAGTGGACCAAGCAGGAGATGTACATACAGGAATCTGCTTTGCTAACTGACCTACTAAATGACAAGTCCCTTGAGTCACCTGTATTTAACATATGGCCTCTCCAGTCAGAACTGGGAATACCAGTGCCATTGTCTGCCTGAAGAATCCTGGCAAGCCTCTTTGCAGTCAGGCAAAACCCTGTTCTCAAGAATCAAATTCTCATGTACATGAAAAAAAAAGAAGTGTAATTTCTGTGCAAGTTAACTTCTCAATTTAAATATCTCTTAGTACTTTAACAGTATTCTGCATCACAGATGAGGCAAAATCCCATCCCAAGGAGATAAATATATCCCTCATGGCCAGAATTAGGTGTCCCTGACACTTTAGTCCCTACACAATATATATAAATAGATAAATAATATATACATATTTTTAAAAAATTATAAAATGTCTATCTCTATCACATGATTTTCCAAGCTTTCATTTATTTCAGTGGATAAAGGCACTTTCAAGCTGTTGGACAGGACAAGAACAATATATGACATATAATGGTGCTCTAAAAACCAGAAAATCTTAAGTTTTAGCATCCACTGATACATCTGTCACCTAGTGTCTTTACAGATATTAAGACATTTTCACCATCTGAGCTGCAAATTACATCTTTATACACTGCTGGTTTATTAATTGCATTTTATTGAGGCAAATGTCACTGTTGAAAGATAGTGTAAAATGTTGAGCTCTCAGAGACACAAATTGATCACATTGTGACTTGGTTAAGCCAAATCTTATTTCCATTATACATAAAATGTGTAAGTATCCTGGATAGATGGCAGATGACTTCTGGATGTAATGACTGCTACAATATTTAACAGCTGCTAGTTTAATTTTATCTAAAATTCTTAAGCTGCCTTCTTTATGTTTCTATGCATTATTCATTAGGTGTTTGTTTGAAAACCTCCTGCTAAACCCTGATTCAGAAATACCATGTTTAAAAACAATGAAGTTGCCAATAGGATGAAAACCTGCTCATGCTAAAGTCCTTGGGAATTTGTCAAAGTAGAGCAGGAACAGATAGGACCTTTCACTCTGTTGCTACAAGGAGGAAGAAACAAAGAGCTCAGTCATACCAGCAGGACTGACACTAGGAGGAGTCTGAAGATCCATTTTCTGATGATAATGACAATACTTTATGCAGATGTTTGTACAATACACAGTTGCCCTCTCTAGGGAGTCAGCACCCTCCCTGTGAAAATAAGGATAATCAGCTTCCTGAAGGCCAAAGCAGACTGAGGATAATAAATGCCAGCCCAGGCCATTCACCATGGGAGTTGATGTAAAAGAGAACATTTAACATGCAGGAGAATTAAAAATAGTTAAGGTTTGCTACTTGACACTGACCCCTGTATTTCTTGTGAGCAGCAGCTGCATTCAAAGAGGTCAAGAAGCGGCTTTTTAGATGTCTGAGATAGGTGAGATGGGATCAAGATAATGGTGCTTGTATGCAAAGCAGTTCTGCAGAAATGCATGCACACAACACTGGTCTCAGGCCGAGGAAGTCCTGCAGAACAGGATAGTTCTGCTTGGATGCCTACTAGGCACTTAATAACAGATATATTTTGGGATAACAGACCAGCCTCTGAGAATTAATTGCTGCTCTGCATCTGCCAGCTCAAAGGCCAACTCTGTCCTAGGAAGCCAGCTCAGAGCCTGCAGAGGGGCAGGATTGTGCTCTGAGACACCCCTTTCTCACTGAAGCTTTGAAGGAACAGAAGGGAGTAGCTGGGGGATGCCAAGGACCCTGGATTCCTCACAGGTACTTAATAAAAATGCCACCACTTGGCCTTGCTGCAGTGGGGGTACACAAGACCAAAGGAAGTGACTGTCATTTTGTAACAGGAGGTGACCCTTTCTTGTAACAGTGGAAAGTTCTGTAATACTAGAGTGAACATGTGGTCCTTGGAAGTAGCGAGGTGGTGATGCAATTCAAAGACTAAAAAAGGGAGCCTGCAACAAAACAGGATGCATGTTTGTCTGAACAGGCAGATTTCCTGTGAAGGTCTGCCCAGTGAAGCAAGGACTGCTGGCATCTGCTATACCATTCATATGGTCTTTGCCCTAGCGTGTTTATCCAACCATTGTAATTTCTGAAAAATCACTCTTTAGGACTTTAAAGCATTACATATGGCCTCTAATCAACATCTTTATTATAAATTATTATAATATTTCCTTTTTGACAGAATAACAGCTACTTTTCTGTGAGGAATGAAAAGACCATATGTGCAGAAATACCAGGAGGGCCTGGAATAAACAGTGTAACAATGCAGAGATGATGCCTGGAGTTCATCTAAATCAATACAGCACTCAAAATGCCAAGAACTCCCATGGCTTCTTACCAGAAGGCTTTTACAAGCAGCTAAGCAGAATTGGTGAAATGTTTTAAAAATATATAGATATTCTGCAGAAAGATGCTGTAAATATTAAGAAAGAAAACATAATTTTTAACAGTTGCCTAGGCAAATTTAAGCTTATTAAGAAGTCAAAGTCAATATGAATTAGGATCACATTTAAAACATATTATGCTGTTGTTAGAGAAGCAGGTTCATCAGCAGATTATTTTAAAATTTATTTTAAAATTTTAATTAGACACACTATTAAAGTTGGAAAACCAGCCAAGTTTCAGGCATGTAAATCCTTCAGCACTCATTGCTGTCACTGTCATTGAGAGATGCCTATGGATGCTGCTCAAACAAAACTGCTCAGAAGTCTGTAGATGGTTTAATTCGATCCAGACCAGAAATGAGACTTTAAAAATTATTAGTTGAAAGGAATCAGCATGAAAAGTAGCTTAAAAAATGGTTTTATTTTCCAAAGTAGATAGGGATTAATTGTTAGGTGCATAAATA